CTTATGAAAATTGGGAAACTTCAGTTTGAGGGGCCTCAACAAGTAGAGATGGAGGAGCAGAAGACAACTGGTGTAACATACAATTGTAAAGAAAAGGATCAACAGAAGAAGGTCAAGGAAGTTTCACAAGTATTGGTTCCTGAATCTGCGGGAGAAGTAGGATTTATAAACTCTTTGGAGCAACCTTTAAGGACAGAATTGCAGTGTGAAGAGCCTATATTAATTAAAAATGGGAAATTTCAGTTTGAGGGACCTCAACAAGTTGAGATGAAAGAGCAGAGGACAACTTGTGCAACATATAAACGTAAAGAGAAAGTCCAACAGAAGAAGGAGGTTAAGGAAGCCTCACAAGTATTGGTTCCTGAGTTTGTGGGAGAACAAGGACTTACAAATTTTTGGGAGCTACCTTTAAGGGCAGATTTTAAAGTACTTCTTTCGAGATTTATGGACAAGAGAGACTGATAAGGATTGTGTTTACAGTGGATGGAACTGGCTATTGGAGAGAAGATTATGGAGATCGAATGAAAATTTTAGATAAGAAGTTTAAGTTTAAGTATTTAGTTTAAGTATTTAGAAGACTATTGAGATTGCGGGAGAACTAAGATTTACAAACTTTTTGGAATTACCTTTAAGAGGTTTATGGATAAGAGAAGGAATGTGTTTACTGTGGAGGAATTTGTTATTGGTAAAGATTTAAACAGGTATAAGGGAATTTTAATGTTTTAAGTTATGTTTATGGGATCTATTATTATTATTATTTTTTAGAGAAGCTAATTTGTTTAATTAAACGTATTTAGATTTGTTTAGGATTTATATGTTTTTTAAGTTTTTTCTTTTCTTGATAGGAGAGAAGATTATGGAGATTGAACGAAAACTTTAGATAAGAAGTTTAAATATAAGTATTTAGTTTAACTATTCAAAAGAGTATCCAGTCTTAATGGTATAATGAATGTTTATATGCTTATTTTTGTGCTCTAGAGTAAAGAAAGAGGGAGATTAGATCTTATATTGTAGGTATGGATATTTAAAGAAAGTAATGTTTAAATTTGTGTTTTGGGGATTCTATATAGAATGATAGATAATAATATAAGTACAATACTAGAAAATGTTTAAAGTATATTATAATGTGTGTTTAATGTTTGCAACTATTATGTTTTAGAGAAGATAATTTGTTTAATTTAAGGTATTTAGATTTGTTTAGGATTTATATGTGTTTTAAGTTTTTTTCTATTTTTTATTTTTTTTCTTGGAAAATTTTAATTAAGCCTGTACTCAGCTCTGGGAAGGTTGAGGGAGGGTATGGGAGGTTTGGGGAAGATGGGGGAGGGTACGGGAGGGTGGGGGTTTGGGGAAGGGATTTGTTTTGTAAAATTTAAAAACTTTCAATAAAAAAAAATATCTGGGCATGAGAACTTTATTTTTTTTAAAAAAAAAAAGAAAATAAATAGTTGAGCTTACTCCATAACAAAGCTTACTTTAAAATAAGTCAGTCTAGGCCATTCTTATTTGTATATTATTTGTACCAATACCTATTTATCAAAACAGTAAATAAAAATAATTTTGTTGCAATGGAAATAACGCCTTCAAAATTTTATTCAGAGAAACAGAAATCCAAGCCATGAAGCCATTCTCTTTAAAATGTTTTCAAGTCAAATGTCTAATCTTGATTTTTGAAAAGTCAATGAATTTTCTACAACTGACTTCGACTGAAGGAAGTCCAAAAAGCCTAAGAACGATCTTTGCTGGCAAAACAATTTATTCACAAAATAAGTACACTGCTTGCTATGGACCCCATCTGAATTATTCATTTAGCACTTCTTTGTTTGCTAATGAATCCATCTTCATTCTTTCAGAGTATGTACAATTCATAAGTATTCACTAAATAGATGCTCCAAATAAATTGCATACATGGCATACTTTGGCAAAAAAATATATTAATTAATCTGAAGATGGTGTGCTTCATACCAGGCAATAGGTTCATGCTTTTTATTTTTCTGTTTCAGATCTGACTGGATGAAAATAAAAATTGATTTAAATAAATGTCCGAAGCGTAAATGACAAAGTTTGCTAAAAGCTATACTTGAAAATAAACATATGTACAACTATAGATAATAGATTATTAGAAAAAAAAATATAGAATCATTTTGAACTAGTTGGCCCGCAGTGGGAAAAGCTGTGAAAGTTACTTTTCTACTTCAAATATAATAAAAATGTGACATAACTGAAAGTGGAAGTCCAGAAACTTACAACATTACAGAATTTCCCCATTTATAAAATAAAAAGTGGTCTCCTCATAAAAGCTTGACTGAGTCACTGATTGTCTGATTAATTGATTGCATTTCTCTCACAATATTTCTGAGGCAACTCAAGGTGGCACACAGGAAGACAACAATCCTGAGGGGCAGTTTTGGCTGAGATGGGTAAGCCTGAAAACATTGGCCAGTTCCATGGTGACATGAAAACTTGAATCTGGTCTATATCCAATGTATAAGGGAAAAAGATAGTACTGTTCATTATTATTACAAAATTATCATTTACATTATTTCTTTATAAGACAAAACCTTAATTACAAATTAGAGGGATTATGAAACCATGTTTTATAATACTTATTTACAACATGCATTTTATAACACCTAAAGTATTTAAAACACTTTCATATTCTACTTCTCTACTGATGGTTCTACCAGGATCTTTTCCCGCAAGAAAAAGAAGCCAATTAAACAAAGTCAAGATGTGTTGAAAGGCTATGGGATGCTAACAGATGATAGACAGCATAGACAATGGAAGCTGGGAGAGGGAAGCAATGTAAGGGAGAATCTGGAAGAAAGTCATCTGACTGGCATCCTGGAAGGAAACAACATTGGTAACTGGTCTCAATTTCAGAATATTATATGAAGGAGAATTTACTATTGAGCACTTCGGAAAAACCTTGCCTAGACTTGCCCAAGCAGTCTCTGAGAATCATACATGATTGAACTGAAGGGGGGAGGGAAGGATGGGATGTAACGCCCACTGTCTTTTGTAGACCTAAGGAAAAAGTATTCAAAAGTCCTTTGAGTCAAGCTCCACTCCTGATGATTCCATAAACATATCCATATTATATTCTGATAACAATGTCAAAGTGGTTTCCCTTTGCCTTCTTCCAAAACGCTTGTTCGATTTTAATTTCCCAATGTAAGCCTATAAACAGGTGGGCTTAGTGGTGCCATCTAGCTCCTTAGTGGTAAAAACTAATTGATCACAACAGAACTTTTTAGTTTTAGGATGCAGCATTTCAGAAGGTAATAGCAAATCACTTCTGTGTTGTTATCAAACCAAACCAAACCCTACAAGACTTTTGATGGTTTTAAGAGCGGTTAAAAAAACTGAGCTTTTCCTGATGGCATTTTAGTGATGCTTTTCTACTGTGCCATCTCCCCCCCCCCCTTTCTTTCTATTTTTGTTATTTTTCTAGTTACACTCTGCTGGTTGTTAATTTTATTATATGAGTGCCTATCATTCTAAACCAATATATAAATGTTGACTGAGTCACTGGGAGTCAGGTGTGCTGTTTCTTCTGTTCCGTAACTTTCAAAAGAATACTGAGACGCTCCACCACGCAAAACAAATACTTTCATCAAATAAAATAACTGTAGTATTTGATCAAGCAAAGTTATACTGCCTGCTTTCCAAATAGAACTTGGCGGTGGGGTGAAACTATTATCCCAAGCCAACTTCGACAAAACGGTTTTTAATCTCTTACACTTGATTTACAAATCCAAATACTTCGCCGTGTTTTAACCCCAAGCACCTTTTAATTCGGCAATGCGGAAAATATACCTCCGAACCATATATTGCAAACAGCAAAATAAAGGAAGTGTACAGAACCCCGAAAGAGGATAAATCCACATCATTACTAAAAAAAAATAATAATAATAATTCTCCATAGGCAAGGAGGATGGATAGAAAAGAAGGTGTGCTTGTTTGTTTTATTCTAGAGTTTTGAACTATGCAAAAAGTAAGCGCTTATGGTCTCAACCGAAAATAAGCCGTAGTAACGTGGGAGGTTTTTTTTCTTCTTCTTTTCGTGCAAAACTAAGAGCCCTCCCGGCTATTCTTGAAAGTTTCCTAAAGACAAGTCAAGGTACATTTCTCGCCAAATGGGAATTAAGACGCGCCGCATTTCAGAGGCGCTAATTAGAAATCCACCCCCTCCCGTCCGCTGCATCTATCGCGGCAGGTAGAAGAGAATGACAGGAACGCGATGCCCCCTTTGACACTATTATGATCACGATTATTTATTCCTCATTCTATTCAACCGGCAGGGTCGAGTTCCCCCGGCCGGCGACGTGGCTTTTGTATTTCCTGATGCCTTCAGCTCGATCACGTCGTGCTTCATTCACCGAGGCTCAGCAAAGAGCCTTCCCCCCAAAAGGAATCAAATCAAATCGAAGACAAAAAAAAAAAGGGGGGGGGAGACCCGAAAAAACCAAGCGGGCGCCCTCGCTGCCCCCCGCCCTCCCCAATCCCCGTTTGGCGCAAGGTTGAATGGCCGGTAATGCTCTCTTTCGAGCGGGAGGGGCCGGCTCGCCAGGGCTCCTTTGGGGGGGGGCTTGTGCCTCCGGCCCGAAGGCTAATCACTTTGTTCCTCCCTCCTTCTCCTCCTTCCTCTTTTAATAGACTAATGAAGCTCAAAGGAGGAGGCTTAGCCTAGTGAGAGCTCACGTGGCTCGCCGCCCGTGCGCGCTCGCCATTGGGTCGCCATAATTATAGGCACACTCCCGGGAGAGAACGGAATCCTCGGCACATAAATTATGCAAACGAAGGAAAGTGCAGCACGGGGCAGACCTGATGCCTTGATTCATTCATGCCGCCAGAGCTCGCGGGGAGGGGGGGGGGGAATCGCGCAAAAGAAGGAGAAGAGAGGGGGGGAGAGCGGCGGAGCGGGCGAGGTGGGGGTGGGGGCGGCGAGGGGTGAGATTCTATTGTTTTACAGGGTATATAAGATATCTGAGGCCAGTCGTGTGCCAAACTCGCTGCTCGCGCGACTTGATAGCGGCCGAGATCCCTCCGCAGACAAGGGCTGTCGCGTGTCTTCTCCTCTCGCTTTCAGCAGAAGTCCGGGTTTGCTAAGTCTCCAAATTAACGTTTGGAACCTGGGCGGGCGGGCGAGCGAGCGAGCGAGCGTCCTATGCGTGCACCGCCGCCTTGAGCGCGCTTGAAGTGAGTATAAGCCAGAAACGCAGGCAGGAAAGCAATTGCTAGCTGGCTTCTTAGATACATTAGGGCGCTGAGATAGGGAAAGGTTGCAATTCGGTTGGCTTACACTGAAAAATAGATACACTTGGACTGCCAATCATTCTTGAGCGGAGACGATCCTAGTACAAAAACTCTGTTTGGTTCTAAGTTTAAATTACGGACTTCGTTTTTTGGAAAGTTTTATCAACTGCTGTCCCAGTTTGCTTATCTTAGAAACTTGTTTTAACAAGTATTCTTTTTTTTCCCTTCGTTTAAAAAATATTTCCCCATTTCCATTGTTCCTCATTTTTCAGTTTTCTCCCGTTTCATCTTCAGCTGAAATCCTTCTTCACCAACCTGGTGGCTTCCAAACCTGTCTGTGCCTTCTGGTTGTGGGTGATGGGAGTTGTGTCGTCACATTTTCTGAGTATACAGAACAGCCTTACAGCCACTCACTCCACCTTTTACCTCTTCTTCTTACAGGATGTCCTCTGCTTTGGAGACCAGCTACTCTGACCTTGACAACAGCAGTGACGTGTCCTTTTGTGTCACAGATGATGAAGGGAGCCTCGGGGGCCTGCAGATCCCTTCCCTGGCTTTTCCCAAACACGTTGCCTCCCCAGAGCCTGGCTCCCAGAGGTGCGAAGAAGAGAAAGAACGGGGGAAGAGGCGAAGGGGACGCACCAAGGTCAAGAACGAAGCTGTCCTTCACACCATCAAAAAGACCAGGCGGGTCAAAGCCAACGACAGGGAACGGAATCGAATGCATAATCTCAATGCGGCCCTGGATGAGCTCCGGAGCGTCCTGCCCACTTTTCCAGACGATACTAAGTTGACTAAGATTGAGACCCTGCGCTTTGCCTACAACTACATCTGGGCCCTTTCGGAAACCCTGCGGCTGGCTGATCAGTGCCGTCAGAAAGCCCCCAAAGAGACGGTGCTGCCTGGTTTCTTGGGTTCCACCGATCCAGCCAGCCCTGGCAGTGATGCTGGATCCTGGATTTCCACAGCATCCCCTGCCACCTCTTCTCTCTCTGCCTGCACTTCAAGTCCCAGCAGCCCAGCCACCTCTGAAGACTATTGTTATGGGCCGGGTGACAGCCTCTTCTCCTTCCACAGCCTGCCCAAAGACTTGCTGCAGAATACAGCTTGTTTTGTGCAGTACCATTAGAAGGCAGAAGGCAACGGCGACCAAGGGTATTTGTCTCCCAGAAGCAAAAGTTCCCAAGCAGCCATTGCTTGTTCTGGGGACTTGGTCCAGCTGGGTTTTTCTTTAGGTACAACAAGCAGACTGGGGGAATTGTACCTTGATTTCTGAAATATGAAAAGTCCTGTATTTTCCCATCCTAAAAATCAAGAGTGAACAACACTGGAGGTGTGTGCATATATTGTACATCAAGATAGGGAGGCTGTGATAAAGCAGTGTTTAGGCTGGCCTATAACCTAGCCTTTCGAACACACCTCCCCCTGGCTGCTATAGAAGCAGGCTTTAGCCCGGAGTATAGCTTTATTTCACTCCCCTCTCTTTTTAAAGATTTTTCTTCTACCACTCCATCCCTTTTGCACTTTTCTACATTTCACAGATCGCCTTTTTGTTTCTTTCCTTTTCAGTCCTGAGCTCTTGGGGGCATCAATATGATTTAGAAAAGGTGTGGGGGGGGGAGAGGCCGGGAAGGACAGATTTGCTGCTACAGACAAGGTGAAAAGTCAATTTTACAATTTGTAGGACTCTAATGAAGAAAAATGAGCATGAAAATTTGGTTTGAACGCCCTGACAATGCAGTGAAAGGGCTTAGAGGAGGCGGATTCAGCTGGGTGCATGGGCCTCCTGCTAGGGACTTAGCGTGCCAAATGCCCAATAGACCCCTAAGGCTCAGGATGCAGTTTTGCCTCTCCCAGGCAAAGCTCTGAATCCCAAGATGATCAGTCCTGAAAGAAGGCAAACTAGAAACTAGGATCATCTGTTGTGGCTCTTGACTTCCACTGCTGTCTTGTACTTGAGAAGAACCAGAGATGGGGCATTCACCGACTGGCTCCAATGCTAGTTTAATTTATTCAAAAGCTTTCGTTCATATGAAAAATGTATTTTTGTAAATAAAGAGCTTTATTCTTATGATATACATTATCTTAAAATCAGATGCTGTATTTTTTTTTAAAAAAAGATGTAAATAAACATCTTTAACATTTGTAACTTCTGTGCCTCTTCATTATTTTTTCTTTCTCTTCCCTCCCACAGCTTCTACTTTCTTAAAATGTGTTTCTGTTTAGAAAAAGAGGAGATGCATTCTATTAATGAACTGAGACATTGCATAGTGGCCTAAAGGCATGATAACAAAAATTTGAAAAGCACTTACCTCTGACCAGTCTTGACTTTATAGAATTCTCCTGCATCACCTAAACTTTAAACCCAAGTAGAGACCATTAATGCTCACAAGAAAGCAAATTAAAATTGTTAGCCACAGTTTAGCTCTCAGCATGAGAGTACTTGTGGGGATGCACACTTTAAAAAGAGAGAGAGTTCTTTTGGTGGCAAAAAAAAAATATCAGCTGGCAACAGATTTTCAAAGAAAAAGGGATTAAAAGGATCAATAAAAACTGACAATTATGTAGAAAGAGGAAAGTGACAGGTGGGTGCCTAGAGCATTGAGGTTGAAGGCTTTATATTTTTGCCCTTTTAGAAGCGACACTAAAGCTTTCTTAAAGATTTCAAGCTTTTAATCCTTTACATTTTTTAAAAAAATGGCTTGAGTTTGAATAGTTAAACAACAAACATTCCCATTTCACATGACTCAGAATGTTGTTTGTTCTTTTTTTATTATTGCAAAGTCTTGATAAAAGTGTTAAGAGAGGCATTCCTAGTTTTATTTTAACAGCCAATATTGTATAATTTTGCAAAATGCATCAAAAACATTGAAACTTTACAGTTCTTTAGGGAACATTAAACTGAGAATTACCAGCGGTCACATTTATGAATGATCTAGAATATATAAATCTGGGCCATAATAGCAAAGGATGAGGGGTATCGTTCCCTGTGATCTTTTATTAGCTTTGTATCACTCTTAAGGCCCTTTCCCTTATCTCCTTTTGTTCCTCCTTTTAGTCAAAATTTAGCTTGTAGCTAAGTTATACATGGCAGAAATATGTAATAATAATAATAATAAAGTTGGAAGGGAACTTGGAGGTCATCTAGTCCAACCCCTTGCTCAGGCAGGAAACCCTATACCATTTCAGACAAATGGCTGTCCAGTCTCTTCTTAAAAACTTCCAGTGTTGGAGCATTCACCACTTCTGGAGGCAGGTTGTTCCACTGGTTAATTGTTCTAACTGTCAGGAAATTTCTCCTTAGTTCTAGGTTGCTTCTCTCCTTGATTAGTTTCCACCTGTTGCTTCTTGTCCTGCCTTCAGGTGCTTTCGAGAATAGCTTGACTCCCTCTTCTTTGTGGCAGCCCCTGAGATATTGGAACACTGCTATCATGTCCCCCCTCATCCTTCTCTTCATTAAACTAGACATACCCAATTCCAGCAGCCTTTCCTTATGGAACAGAGCAGGAACAACTTTAGGATTAGGTGAATTCATGAGCCATCAAGGGATGGCATTTCCAGAGCAAATCTTTGGAGTTGAAGTCCAGGGACCAATTAGGAGATTGAAACTCCAAATGCTGAAAAGACTTGACAATGCATTTTGATGTAGACATAATGGTAAAAATTATTTTAAAAAATAAGGACTCCTGGAAGTTCATTAAATCCGAATCAAAGTTTACTTAGCTTGACCTAGGGATCTCAATAGAAGCAACCCCAAATAAAGAATAGAATAGAAGAATAACTTTATTGTCACTTTGAATGTACACTAATCGGCATATATTAAAATGAAATTTTGTTCCATACAGCTTTCAAAGAGTCACTACCTCCAACATACATACATACATACATACATACATACATACATACATACATACATAATTATGCATACACACACATATTATAGGACACAGAGAAACAACTCAGTCTAGTTCGGATTATGTATATATGTGAGTGGCGAGAAAAATGAATCTTTACCAGATAGATGGCATAGGGAACAAAGCTATTACAGAATTGGGTAGTCCTGCCTAGAAATAGAAATAGGATAAATTTAAAATTAAACTATTAATTATAGAATTCTATAGGATTCTAGGTATGGTAGCCAGGGTTGAGACCTTATTTTCAAGGCAATTATTCCTTCTGTATTTCAACATGGACATTTAACAAAAAATCATTTTAGAAAGTTTCAAACGTTTTGGAATAAGATTGTGAAGCAGATCTAATCTTTCACTAGTTACAACTGCTGAGATTTCTGTTTTATGATGTATGTAATGTGCATTGTTTATATACATTGGATTGCCCAGAGCAGGAGACTATAATAAATCAATGTGTAAAGATTATGTAAAATATTCATATTTCAAAAGGGGTGCATAAGAATGTACTAGTTTGACCAGCCATATGTACTTACTGTATTTGGGACTACTTCTCAGTGAAAGGTCCCCCCTTTAAAGATTATCAGATCCTAGCCCCAAGAGTCAGTCTTCTGTGCTGAACACAGACACAATCTCTTCTTCTGGGATAATTTGCTATTTGAAATCAGGCTAGATCTCCATCCCTTCCTCCCCCAACAATCCTGTTGAGTTTTAGGACTGCTGTCAAACCCTAGTTTTAAAAAAAAATTGAGAGGGAATCTAATGTAAATTAGAAGCCCCAACCTGGTTTGTGTTTAGATGTCTTCATTTTGGGTGGCCTTTGTTTGTCTCTGGATACATTTGTGTTATTACTATTTATTGTAAGTTTTTTAAGGGGTCTCTGTGTTGTATTTTAATGCTTTTACTGTAGGAAAAGAATGCCAGCCAGTTAGAGTCTTTCTGGATTGCAGCAGCAGATAAGCCCAATAAATAAATAAAGCCAAGAAAAACACTGTCTTGAGCACAGTTAACACACTTGCTCAGCACATACTTTCTGCTGTGAAAGATTGGTTTTGGTTGGGAGATTGTTCCCCCACTGAGCAGAAGCTCAATTGCTTTGCCTTTGTATGTATGTCACACTGTGGGTGAAAAGACTGTCAGGTTGTGATCTGAAGCACAGCAGACAAAGAAAAGAATGGCTAGTCTTTGAGAAAAGATATAAGAATGGATTAACCCCCAGATTGAAACCTGGAGAAATAAACTTATGGACTTGAAAATTGTTTTTGCTTTACCTCTTCTATGTTTTCTCCACTGGAATTGTCCCACTCGCTCTCTTTAATAGCTGACATAGAGTGTGCAAGACAGGATTTGCAGCTCCCATTATGCAGGAAGGTTCCTAAAAGGGAATCAGTCCAGCCTTTTGCTTTAGAGCTTATGTCATTTCTATAGTGGAGGATAAATCCTCTATTTGGACTCCAGCAAGAGGTCCCTTCAATCCTGCTGTAGGTGCACGTGTCTCGGATAGAACACTGGTTTTCTTTTCCTTAAGCCCTTAGGAGACCCACCAGGAAACCCATCCCAAAGCTGTACTCACATCCTGTTTCAAGAAGAGTGCATATGCTTTCTTTAGCATGCAGCTGGCAGCAACGCTAAGGGCATAACGCAACAACTGCCATGCTCTGGCTCACAACAATGAGACTAAACTTGTAACTCCTCTCTCCCCAGGTACAAAAATTAATGAGCATTTCCCTCTGCCCAAACCCGTCACGATCAAACTATCATCCCCGATAGTTTGTCATCTACGCAATTTAGAACATTTACAAATAGAGTGAAAACATTACTGTTACACTTTTCAGCTAGAGAAAGATCTTGACAATCCAAAATCGGAAAGCCTTAATTTCAGTCTACTATTCCAATAACCAAGTAATTTTGGGACAATATAAAGCACCGTAGATTAATAAAGGCTTTGCAAATTTTACTGTCCACATCTGCATCCTTCCCAAGGTCACATCAAAAGTGAGAAAACGCTCAGAAACAGGGCAGAGAAGTGTTCCCTTCAACCTCTCCATGCTGACACCAGCCCCAATCATGCCACGGTGGTGTTAAAAAAAAATCTCTAGAAGGAGAAAAAGGGTAGAAAATGGGGAGCAATATAACAGCCTCCCCCCTTCTTTAATGGCTGGGAAGACTAAACACAAATTTTGAACTGTTAGAGGGGGGAAACCCTACTATCCTTCTCTAAGTCTGATAGTAAACCTATGACCCAAAGAGATGGTGGGTTCTCTTCACTGGATATATTCATCAGGGTGTCAGACAGGACACACTGGTGTATTCCTGGTCTGAACATGGAATTTCAGCAAAGCCCCTCCCAATTCTACAACTTTAAAAAACACCTATGCCAGTGGTGGCGAAGCTATGGCACGAGTGGCAGAGGCGGCACTCGGAGCCCTCTCTGTGGGCACACGTGCTGTTGCCCCAGCCTCGCCTCCCCCCGCAGCTCCCTCCTCTCCAGCAGCCTCCCTGAAGGAGAGTCACCCAAGCATGGCCCACGCGGAGCAGCGCAGCCAAGGACATGACAGCCAGGCAGCGTAGACAAGACTCTGCCCTCACACCCCATTGTGCACAGTTGATGCTGCAGGGCATGGACAGAGGGTGTGACCGTCATAGTGCTGCTGGGCTGCCTGGGTGATCTGCGGCGGGCCCTGGAGGCAGTGAGTGGCCCTGCGGGCAGGCGGGGCAAGGGATGGGGGCGGAGCGGGGGCAGGGCAGGGGGTTGGAGCAGGAGCGGGGCCAGTTTTTGGGCACTCGGCCTCTAAAAGGTTCACCATCACTGACCTATGCAATGACCGATCCAAGATTGTTTAGTTCTAGTTCATTTCTTGTTCAGCAGCCAAGAAGTGAGGATTCTTTAAAAACAGAGGCCTTGGAATATCCATCAATTTATTTGATTTATATCTTTTTTTCTTGCTTCAGTGCCCTCCTGAATGGACTGTTGCAATATGCTATACACAGGGCTGCCTTTGAAGAACATTTGGAAGCCACAATTGTCCATAATGCATTGGTGAAGGCAATTATGGGCATTTCTGGATATAGCCATGTTAAGCCTTTGCTATGCTGAGTTATACTCAATAGGCCTCTGGGTGCTATTCAAGATACTGGTTATTACCTTAATAGC